CATGTTCTATTTCTTTCTTGGACTCCCACGGCACTGCCTGGACTTCTGTCACAGCACCTGTGACAATATCACACCTTTGTGTTCACATGACTGCCTCTCCCTACTACACTGTGAGCTCTATGTCATGTGGGTCGTCTTCTTTTTTTTTTTTTTTCAAAGATTTATTTATTTATTTATTTATTTATTTATTTATTTATTTATTTATTTATTTATTTATTTATACAAGCACTGGGTACAGTCAGAAGCGCAGGAGGGTGAGAGGATTCACCAGAGCCAGAGCGGGGAGCGGAACAGACAGAATGACGAAGTACACTGCTGAGGGGAGCAGCAAGCGTGGCAGGAGAGGTCTGCGCACCATGATGGGACCCTCGCCTATGGCCAGGGATCGAACTGGCACTGCAGAGGCTGTGGGCAGCTTCGCAGCCCAGCGCTCAACCGCTGCGCCACCAGGGAGGCCCTCATATGGGTCTTCTTATCCCAACACCAGGCATATGTCCTGGCCACAATGTGTGCTTAATAACTAATGAATGATTGAATAATTTCCCCTATTTCTTGGATTTCAAGTCACTTTGAATCCTCTCCTAAATCTTGTTAGTTATCAAGTCTCATCGATTCTTGATCCCTTATGTCTGTTACTGTCACTGCACTCACCCAGGCTCTGATTTTGCACAACTTCCATATCCCCATCTTGGTCTCCCTGCTTCTAGTCTTTCTCTTGCCAAGTCAGTGCTCTCTCTGTTTCCTCTCTAAAACTGCTCTCTGTGGGCCTCCCTGGTGGCGCAGCGGTTGAGCGCTGGGTTGCGAAGCTGCCCACGGCCTCTGCAGCGCCGGTTCAATCCCCGGCTGCTCCCCTGCCACCGGAGGAGGGTCCCACATGGCGCGCAGACCTCTCCTGCCGCCCGCTGCTCCCCTCAGCAGTGTACTTCGGTCCTTCTGCCTGCTCTGCTCCCCACTCTGGCTCTGGTGAATTCTCTCACCCTCCCGCGCTTCTGACTGTACCCAGTGCATGTATAAACAAAACAAACAAACAAAACCAGCAAACAAATAAATAAAGCATGCCTCTATAAATAAATAAATAAATAAATAAAACTGCTCTCTGTGTGAGGGTCAGTTTTATTTTGTTTTATTTTATTTTTTATTTATTTATACAAGAACTGGAGTATAGGTCGGAGGTGCGGGAGGGTGAGAGAATTCACCAGAGACAGAGTGGGAATAGAACAAGCAGAATGACCAAAATACACGGGGCAGTGGGCGAGGGAGGAGAGGTCTGCTGTGCCATGTGGGTTTCTCCCTGGCCAGCCGGGAATCAAACCCGTGCTGCAGAGGTTGCAGACAGCTTCCACAGCGCAGCGCTCAACCTGCTGTGCCACTCGGGAGGCCCGAGGGTCAGGTTTAAATCCCTTATTCTAATCTCAAGGCTCTCATGAGCCACACATGAACCACAACTTCCCTATCTTAAACCTTAGTCTTCTTTCATCATTTTTCTCTCGTTATCAGCCAGATGCCAAACAGATGCACTCTCTCTTCCTTCCTCCCTTCTTTCCGTCATTTTATCCTTCCTTTAAAGCCAACCAAATCTCATTTTCCCTGAGAGGTTTTGGTCTCTTTTTTGTCTTAGACAGTGTCATTTTTCTTTGACTTCTTTCTTACTACCTACCATTACATGACTATTGTACCACAATTGGACATTAATCATCTATGGCAGGAGTTGGCTATTTGTGGCCAGGGAGCCAAATCTTGCCTGTTGCCAGTTTTTGCAGTCTGTGAGCTAAGAATAGCTTTTACATTAACGTTTTAAAAGAAAGTATATTTCATGACACAAAAATTACATGAAATTCATACTCCAGTATCCACAAATTAGGTCTTATTAGAATATAGCCACACCTATTTGTTTATATACTATCTATGATTGCTTTCAGACTATAATGGCAGATGAATAATTTCAACAGAGATCATAAGGCTTGCAAAGCCTAAAATTTACTCCCTGCCTATGATAGAAAAAGCTTGTTGAGTTCAGATCTAGGGTCTTGAATTGTCTTTTTTTTTTTTCAAGATTTATTTTATTTATTTGTGCATAAAGAGCTGGGGTATAGGCCAGAGGTGCGGGGGGAGGTAGGGTGGGTGAAAGAATTCACCAGCAACAGAGTGGGGAGCAGAACAGGTGGATCAACTGAAATACACTGCCCACTGCTGAGGGGAGCAGCAAGCCAGACAGGAAAGGTCTGTTGCACCATGAGTGTTAGCTCCCTGCTGCTGACAGATTCACAGTGCTGAGACTTACCCCCTTGTACCACCAGGGAGGCCCTTGAATTCTCTTTATAATTTTTGCACAGCTTTTTAAGAACTTTGGAGAGGTCTGTTTCGATAAAGACAATCTTTTTTGATGCTAATTAGCTGATCATTAGAAAGGTGGGGGAAGCTAGAGGAGTAGGCTGCATAGAGTGGGTAGGAGCTAGCCTAGTTAGAAATTTAGTCACGAAGGCAACCAGGTTCCCATATGGAAGTGAGAAGCAAAAGAGCTCAGGTGGATGTAAAAAAGAGGGGATCCTTTTTTCCCCATCTCCTCTATTTCTGACGTGGTAGAGAAAAATGTGAAAGCACAGAGGGTCTCGCTGAGAAAGGCTATTTGCAGTATTACCTGAATCCGTTGTTGAGCAATGACTGGTTGCCACCAGAGAGTAGCTTAGTTTTTAATGAGTCAGCTGTTACAGGCCATGAAAGTATCACAGCTGGGCCTTCCCGGTGGCGCAGTGGTTGAGCGCTGGGTTGCGAGGCTGCCCGCAGCCTCTGCAGCGCAGGTTCCATCCCCGGCCACCGGGCGAGGGACCCACATGGCGCGCAGAACTCTTCTGCCGCCTGCAGCTCCCCTCAGCAGTGTGCTTCATCTGTTTGCCTGTTCTGCTCTGGCTCTGGTGAATTCTCTCACCCTCCCATGCTTCTGACTGTACCCAGTGCTTGTATAAATAAATAAATAAATCTTAAAAAAAAAAAAAGGTATTATTAAAAAAAAAAAAAAAAAAAAAAGAAAGTATCACAGCTAACCCTGAAAGTGTTTGGCTTTGGCTGACTGAAGCTGTAAGTAGACTAAGAGGTTTTACAATACCTAGAAGTATCACAGGCAAGAGAATTTAAAGGATATCCTTAAGTAGAAGTGAAAGTTAACTATTTAGATAAACAGTTATAGCGTTGGAGTTTTCAGAAAGTTCAGGACTCTTACCAAGGTGTTTTCAACTTGCTCTAATCATATTTTTTTTATTAAAAGTTATACAACATAGGGCCTCCCTGATGGCGCAAGGGGTTAAGATGCAACCTATGAAGCTAACCGCAGCCACTGCAGCACGAGTTCTATCCCTGGCCAGGGAGTTACCCACATGGCGCAGCAGACCTCTCCTGACTCGCCCGCTGCTCCCCTCAGCAGTGTATTTCAGTCAATCCACCTGTTCTGTTCTCCACTCTGTCTCTGGTGAATCCTCTCACCCCCCGCACCTGTGGCCTATACCCCAGCTCTTGTATGCATAAAAAGAAAATAAATCTTAAAAAAAAAAACCTATACAAGATAGTAATTATTGAGTAATAGTTCACCTTACTGAAAAATAATCTTTGTAGACAAAAGGGTGGGCTTCATCTTCTATGTCTGCTCCCCTCATTTGGGCAGAGTCCACTTGGCTAGTCTTGCTATTAGAGATGGACCTCCAAATAGGTTGCTACCTGATTGACAGAAAGAAACAAGCTAGACTTTAGGACATAGGACTTGCCTATTGGAACTGATTTTAGTGACAACAGTAGGAAAAAAGTTAAAACCAGTCTCTCCTTTTTAAATAGCTTCACCACCATGCGCAGCACCTTGGAGGGCACATTGTCAGATTGAGATAGAATGAATAACTGGTTGTAAGTTAGCTTCTTTCTTTTTTTTTTTTTTTCTTTTTTTGAGAGGGGTGTTCATTACTTATTCAAGTGGATACTAGGTGATCATCACTTTATTAGAGAGGGTTTTTTTCCCCATTGGGTATGAGGAAAGATTAATGGTAAAATGTCTTCCTGTTTATAAGATCTATGCTCTTCCAAATTAAACAAGCACTTCACAGTTTCCCTATTCTTTGCCATGAACTACCATCCACTTGCTTTCCCCCTCCCTCCCACATTCCCTCTTTCTTCCCCCATCCTTTTCTCTCTTGGTTCCTTCTCTCTCTCTCTCTCTCTCTCTCTCTTTTTAAGATATATTTATTTATGCACACAAGAACTGGGGTACAGGCCAGAGATGCAGGGGTGTGTGTGAGAGGATTCACCAGAGAAAGAGTGGGAAACAGAACAGGCAGATCGACTGAAGTACACTGCTGAGGGGAGCAGCGGGCAAGTCAGGAGAGGTCTGCTGCGCCATGTGGGTAGCTCCCTGGCTGGCTGGAGATGGAACTCGTGCTGCAGAGGCTGTGGCTTGCTTCATAGTGCTGTGCTCAACCTCCTGCCCCACCAGGGAGGCCCTCTTAGGTCCTTCTCTTATCCAAACTGCCATCCTATCACAAAATTTCCATCTGTAATATCTCTGGGCTTTACCCCTTCATTCTTCACTGTTCTCTGTTTTCCACATACCCTCTTAATTTCCTTCTAGCTCTTTTCTCTTGGCTTTCTTTCTCAAACGCACACGTTTCTCCCGTCCCTCTCTTCCTTCCTTCGTGGATTCCTCCTTCCTCGCTCTCCTCTTTGCTCCCCCTCTTCATTTCGGTGCTCTCATCCCCCATGGTCTCCTCCTCCTTCCCGCTCTCAGACTTGTCTTACCCTAGTTTGGAAATGCAGCAGGCCTCTGAGCCTGCCGCCATTGGATGCAAGGAGCCGTCACTCTGCGCCAGAACGCACTCTTATTGGCTGGCTGGGAGGCGGGGCTTGGTTCATTATAAAAGGCCGGGCCGGCGGCGCGCGGGTCGTCTGTGCCTGGACAGGGTGGGAGGGTCGCCTACCCCGGCCGCGCGACCTGCCCGGGAGCCGGCACCGGAGCCTCGGCGGCAGCGCTGCCCCCTCGCCAGCCCGGCAGCTCGGAGCCCGCGCCCGCTGCGGTCCGTAACCCGTTCTTTGCACGTGCGGCGCCCCGCGCCGGGTTCGCCGCCGCGATGAGCGAGGTGAGGGCGCCGGCCCCGCGCTCCGGGAGGGCTGCGCGGAGGCCGCGCTCGGGTCCGGGAGGCGAGGGGGGCGCGGCAGCCGGAGGGAGAGCGCCTCTGCCGGGCGCTGGGACCGATGGGGAGAGGGATGCTTCACACCCACGACTGCGGGTGGCCCAGTTGAGGGTTCTGGGATCGGGTTTGGCGGGGGCGAGGTCTCAGGTGGTACGTGGGTTCCTCGGGATAGCCCGTTGCATCTGTGCTGCTGCTCCCAGATTCCTCGGGTTCCCCTTCAGCCCCTGACAGGCGGGCGGCTCTGGCACACCTTAGGTGGCGTTCAGTTAAGAACTCCATCCCTCGCCCCTGGGTGGCTACTTTCCTCCTGGTAGGTTGGTCAGGAACCAGCCACAGGAAAGGACCATTTCTGATATTCCGAAACGCCTGCTGGGGAGGCATCAAGACGTCCCTTCAGGAGTCACCCTCCTGCAGTGCTTGCTTTATCCTGGGTGCCTTGGCAGGCGGGCTTGAGGCGCTCACCCCATCCAGACCCAGTCCATCAGTTGTGATTTCTTCCTTTCAGAGAACACTGTCCATAGGTGGGGGTCCAAGTAGGCTTGGAAAACAGCTCTCCCTTCGCCCCCCTCCCTGGCCCCCGCCGTTGTTTGGCTATATTTCTAGACATCCAGAAACCAGATCTCCCAGGCCAAGTGAAATCAGTGTGGGCAGTGGCATCACAAGCTTTCTCTCTGCAACCCCCTTTCTGGTACCCAGGATCTGGTTAAATCCAACTTCTCAGCTATGCCAGGTCCCAGCTATACTAGTTACTAGATATGTGGCCTTAGGCAGGTTATTAAACCTCTCTGTGCTTCTGTTTTATATATAAAAGGAAGATAATACAATTGTTCGAGTGATTAAGAAAATATGCTTAGAAGGGTTCCTGGCACAAAGCAGGCACTCAAGCTATGTCAGCTATTGTATTATCTCCCTGGTGCTTCCTTCTATTTGAGAGTATCACAGAAGATCAATTTAGATCTTGTCTTTAGTAGGAGCTCTGCTGGCTCCTGTCAAAAAGTTGTCGCCCTGGGAGCCAATTAGTACCAACTGCTCAGTTGCATTGGTTGCCATGTCCACTAAGTTTATCCTGGAAAATTCATCTAGTCTGGGGGCTACAGGTGATCCAGCCCCTCAGCTCACTGTGAGAGATGACCATGGTTGCTTTTCAGAATGAAATGAAAAAAAAAAAAAGGTTCAATCTTCTGTTCTGTTGCTTCTTTTAGTTCTAATATGAGAGATGTTTTCTTTGCCCTCTTCACTGAATCTAGAGTTCAACACCCCACTAGTGTTTCTAAATCTGAAAGTTGCAATTTAAGCCATCCCCTGGGAGTATGTGATCTGAAGGCTATGCCAGAAGAAGCGTGGTTCGTCTGTGCCTTGGCGGCAGGGGGAGAGTGCACAGCCCTCTCTAGGACATGCTGCAGGGCTGGTAATCGTGATATTTGGTGGACTGACAAAACTGTTTCAACAGCAAGGAAAACAATATGATGTTTGAGGGGACAGTCAAGTCTTAACTTAGCATCTCAACTTGGCTAGCTTTACCCAGGAGCTCAGTGGGGTGGTGAGAGCAAACTCCTTGGATGGAGACTAGCTGTCAGTGGGTGCAGGGCTGCCCAACCTCCTAGTTGTCAGAGGGAACTGGTTCTAACTAGCAATTTAGCTGAAGCTGCCTCCTGATACAGAGCTGAGCCTAGTTCAGGGAAGAGTATTTATAAAATCCAGAAGCAGCCACCTGGGTATAACCAGAGGCCAGCTGTCTCTGAACCAGATCCCTAAAGGGTCTTTGCGTCCCTGGAGGCCAAAACCCAGCCTGTTTTCTTCCTCTTGGAAAAGCTGTGATGAAAAGTGGAAGTGTTGCCTAGAGCTCTTGGTGCTCTAGGGAGACTCCAAACTGCTTCACTTCTTTCAGCACAGCCTCAGGGGTCTCCTTTTGCAGGCCGACATGCCTGACCTAGAGAAGCCCTGTGCACCCTAATCTTATATAAGCATCACCTCCCGCACCTGCTAATTTTTTTTTTGCTTCAGAGAAACTGCATGAAATGAGAGGACTAGGGATCTTTTAAGAGATTCCTATCCAACTGAGAATAAACACTAAGCAGGGAGGAGTCTCCAGACCTAGAGCAACTACAAGTGCAGGGGATCTGGCAGGGCTGTTGGGAAGACTGTGGGCTCCTCTTTGCCCTCGTGGCTCTTCACTGTCACTCAGCACTGCAGCAGAGCATTGCCCTGTGAGTGTGTGCGTGCGCAGATGAGCTTCAGGGAGTCTCTCCAGCTCGTCTGTATTCACAGCTGTAGGCAGTACTTGACTGCTGTGGATCTCAGTGTGTAATAACTTCTCACTGTTTTCAGTAAAGGTTGGGAATGGGTGATGCATTCAGACCCCCGGGGCTCTTTCCTATAATCCCTCATCTTGTAGTATAGTTGGCTGGGTAAAGCAGAATTGCAAGTGCTTCTGTGATCCTGTTGCATATCCCAACTGTGAATTGAGTTAGGGAAATCCCTTGGCCCAACAGTGATTCTGTGAAATGTGGTTGTGGATGACTGCTAACTATCCTCATGACAGATCAATGATAAGTCTTACTATGGGAGCCTAAAATTCATACCTTCTCCTTTGTTTTTCTTCTTGCTGTCCTCCTAGGAATAGGAATTGGGATCACACTTTAGCTATCACATTCTCTTCTGCACAATTGCAGTTTGGTTGGGCAACATCATTCTATTATGTCTTCTGTGTGTCAGTTGTTAGGGAACCTGGTAGGAATTTGGAGGAAATCCAAATCCTCTTATTGGCATTTTATTATTATTACAGTTATTTTGGACATATAAAATAGAAGTGTTAGCCACTCGGTATTGGAATACCTTCCACCTATGGATGAGAAACCAGAACTTGGTCCCTAACTTGCTCATCCCTTTTTGAGTCGCCCATTCAGGTTGTTGGCATTAGCAGTTTGAGCAGGAGCCTCTGGCTGGTGAAAGTGGGTGACTTTGTCATCCTATAACCTAGGAATATGGATGACTCTTTTCTAAGCTGCAGCTGTGACCAGTTACCTCTTAAAATGTCAAATCTCTATAGGGTCAGGTGTCCATAAATAATGTGGCTGGAATCCAAGTGTGCATCTTTCACATCTGCCTATGAAGGGTCTTAACTGATGGAAGTGATGAAGATTAGGTTGCAGAGGGAGGGAAGAAGGTTCAGTTTAATAATGATTTCTTCCAGGCAGTGGTTCTATGAATGCCTTCCCCTGTCTTTTTATTTTTCTGCAGTTCCAAATGGTCTCTCATATGTCTGTTCTATCATGGAAAAAATACACTTATTTTTGTAAAAATTCTTCAAGAAATAAATATAGGTATATCTTTCACCAGGAAAATTTTTGAATAATAATATAGTAAAACATTTCAATGATGGGATTTTCGATTTCTTAAGAAGTCCTAAGGATCATCTGATCAAGTCTTGTCATTTTACAGATGAGGAAACTGAGACCCAAAATGAATCTAAGTTTACATAGTAAACTTACACAGTAAGCTAGAACCAAGACTAGGACACAGAACTACTGACTGCTCATTCCAAAAGAAATTTCCTTTAGACTCCTTAACATGTTAGCCCAGTGGATATAGAGAGAATACAGCTTTTTTTTTTTTGGTTATATTGTTCTTGTTTCATTATTACTTTTTTTTTTTTAAAGATTTATTTATTTATGCATACAAGAACTGGGGTATAAGCTAGAGATGGGGGGTGGGGTGAGAGGATTCACCAGAGAGAGTGGGGAGCAAAACAGGCAGATCTACTGAAATACACTGCTGAGGGGAGCAGTGGTCGAGACAGGAGAGGTCTGCTGTGCCATATGGATTGCTCCCCGGCCAGCTGGGGATTGAACTCATGCTACAGTGGCTAGCAGTAGCTTGATAGCACTGAATTTAACCCCTGCACCACCAGGGAAGGCCCTACTTTTTATTTAAAAAAATTCTTAAACTTTAGGTCATGTTGATTTATAACATTGTATATAATTAAGAAATATAGGACTGGGGCCTCTCTGGTGGCGCAGTAGTTGAGCGCTGGGTTGCGAAGATGCCCGCAGCCTCTGCAGTGCTGGTTCGATCCCTGGCCACCAGGTGAGGGTCCCACATGGCACGCAGATCTCTTCTGCCGCCCACTGCTCCCCTCAGCAGTGTACTTCGTCAGTCTGCCTGCTCTGCTCTCCGCTCTGACTCTGGTGAATTCTCTCACCCTCCCGTGCTTCTGACTATACCCCGTGCTTGTATAAATAAATAATAAATCTTTAAAAAAAAAAAAGAAATATAGGACTGGGCCTCCCTGGTGGCACAAGGGGTTAAGCGTCAATACTATGAAGCTATCCGTAGCCACTGCAGCACAAGTTCGATCCCCACCCAGGGAGCTAACCCGTATATGGCACAGCAGACCTCTCCTGTCTCACCTGCTTCTCCCCTTAGCAGTGTATTTCAGTGAATCTGCCTATTCTGCTCCCCACTCTGTCTCTGATGAATCCTCTTACCCCCTGCATCTCTGGCCTGCACCCCAGCTCTTGTATACATAAATAAATAAATCTTTTAAAAAAAAGAAAAGAAACATAGGACCCCACCTTTTTAGGTGTATGCTACCACACCATACCTGCCAGCCAGGCACTCATAGTCCTCCACCATGGTACATTGTGCCCCTCTCCCTTTCTTCCCTTCCTTTCCCTGCTCTGATAGCCTCAGTTTTACAGTCAGATTTCTAGGGTTTGTTTTTGGTTTGGAATTGTCAGACTCTTGTTTTGTTTCAATATACTCTACATATTAATGAAACCATTTGATGTTTGTCTTTTTCCTTCTGGGCTTATTTTGCTTAGCATAGTCCCCTCCAGTTCCACCCATGTTGTCACATATGTCGAGTTCATCTTTTTTATAGTTGGGTAGTATTGCATTTAATGTATATACTACATCTTTTTTTATCTACTCATCTGACATGCAAC